TGCCCACCTCCTTCCGATTGTCTTTGTGGCCGCGCACAGAACCTCTACCGTATTCTGGTCACTCTACTCTGTCCCCGCTAGCGACACTACCCACGACGCCATCTCTGGATCCATCGTTCTTTGTACATAATCTCCTGGAAAACTATAAATGAATGTGACGCAACTCGTGTGACAGAACTTGTGTTTCTATTTCTTTTCCGAACGACGTCCGCAAGGTCATCAGTAGTCACGTAATGGCAATGTGTTTTGTACAACATTCTCTAAATAAAACAAACCCCTGTCAAAGGATTGACACTACGTTTGAGTACGGGCTTCACTTGTTCTCTGTTTGGTTCATTACATGACAGTAAAGAAATACATGGCACACTTCCCAATGGCAACCCCTCACTCGGTTCTTTTGACCTCCACGAACATGCCCAGACTACTTTTCGAGCTTTGATTCCAGCCATTAAGCACGACAGTCAGTCGTTCCCGAGACATTTCCAAAGCCTGCTCAAAGGAAAGCAGTCGTAATTGCTGCTCATGAGGAAGCTGAAGTCCATTTCTCTCTTTGCTCGGGTTAATGCTAGCCTCCTTCGAAAGTTGACTCTTCTGGTCGACATCCTTGCCATTGAGGTGCCTAGGCACACATGATGCCCATAGACGTCGATAGAGCCCCACGGATCGAGCCGCTTGAAATGCGAGTTTCGGATCGTCGCGATCGAGATTTGCCAGTGTCGCCAAGATGGGTTGAAAGTGCTCAATCGTCAGGGGTTCTTTCTGGTCGGTTTTCAGCTGCGGGAGGGAGAATGCCAGCAGTCAGCCACAAGATCTGATACTGTATGGGATGCACCTAACTTACCTGTCGTGGTTTGGGATCAGAAGCATCCTTTGGGTGGTCTTTATCAACCTGAATTGGCAGTCCAGTCGGCTGGTGATCTCCATTATTTTGGTCCGGTACGTTCCTTGGAGCACCCATTTCGTGTTGGGCAAAGAATTAAATTCAGAGTCGTTTAGTCTGTACCGGATGATAGCCTCTCTTATAGCCCACCTAGAGACACGTAGTCACCTTGTTAGTGTTACGACAGGGTACGGGTCTCAACGCAGTCATTTATTTGAGTGTTGATGGCTATTTGTATTGGTGGCCGTTGAGCATCCCTATTCCCATGCTGATCGATGTTAGTAACTCAACAAGTTGTTCAAGCAGCATTGAATCATGTCTCACAGCTTCGACGGCTGCATGGATTCAAAGGGCTCTCTTTCCTCAATTTGGAAGCACTTGGCTGGCCGGGACCGGTGAGCAATAACTGATAAGGCCCTACCAACGACTGATGAAAGACTGGGAATTTTGTATCATGCCGGGCACTCATGACTGCTGAATTCCAACTTGTCGGCGGCGAAATCCCGAATTGAACTAGCCTCACCGGTGGTGTCTGGTCAACGTTGTGTCAACGACCATCTCGCCTCACAAACAGGCGTCTTTATATGTTGTTCATGTATTTTGTCAACAATCCAGGTTTACGTTGAAATCAAAACCGTGCGCAGCAAATGGCAAGACATCGTTTTCGATAGGATTTGTTGAAGGGAGGGTCAACTCAGCAATTTGGGTGGGCAAGCAGCGATGATTCAGGTATTCTGGGTTTCTGTGCGAGTTTTGCTGACTTTTCCTTTTGTTTCGTCCGTGTTATTTTAAGGGGCAACTCCTTCTTCTATACACACTAAGTCTCATTTACTACTGATCGATTTTCGTACTCAGACATCGCGCTTGACAGTGGGGTTAATGCCTCCTACTTTCGCCTCATTTTCGGCACAGAAATCTCGATTCATGCTTAGTGCGGGCGACAGTTCACAAATAGTACAACAAGCTACGACAACATCCTCGCAAGCAGAAGCATGTAAGACGGACATGATGTTCCCAAGCGACACACTACTCTTCTACGGTGACAGAAGCGAACAAAAAGACCTGATCGATCTCATACCCACCGAACAGCCTGGCATGGAGTTCCACCAGCATGAAAAGTGTGACTTTATCTTTCAGGACTCGACACACCCATTGTACATCAGCCAAAGCAGAGACAATGGTCATCTTTGTCGACACATGAGTTGCCGAATTGATCCAGGTTCCAGCCATTGCGGATGGCGGCCTGTGGTCTGTTGGTTTCGATACCTGCCTAACTGGGAGCCATTGAACTTACCCTTGGAGGCTTCCCCTGGTTACTTTGACCTCGCGCCTAATTTGTTCGGAACTTGCCCTTTCCCGTCCCCACAGATTGCCAATGATCCCTGGATAGATCGGCTTGGAAGGCAGCACGTTGGACAAGATACGCAGGTTGCAGAGGCATGTCAAGTCTTCCGACAATTCCCCAATCCCATCCGTACGCAAGATTCCTGCGATTTTCGTCACGGACATTCACAAGCCAGCACCCCACGGCGACAGTTCAATTGCAGGCTTTCGGGATGCAAGCGCCAATTCAATCGCCAAAAGACCTTGAACCGTCACCTGGCAAGCCATTCAGGAGCGAGACCTCATGTCTGCTGGGTCCCTGGGTGCCAACGCAGTTTCTCGCGGCGCGACAACCTCAATGCCCACTATAAAACGCACGGCAAACGTGGGGGCCGCAATCGGTATGTGGCTATCCTGGACAAGACAGGCACCATGTATAACCCTGAGTTCTGTGGGCAGCTAACGCCTGATGCAGTCGAGTTCCGTGCTACTGCACCGAAATAGGATCTTTCGGATTATTTTCCTCTCCGTCGAAACTGCGATCAATTAGGGAGCTCCAGACTTTGAAATGCATCTTTTTAAGCTTCCTGGAGAATCAACCGAAAAAGTATGTTTGGGTCATGAACCGTTTCTCCGTATGTATTGTCGCCGCCGCTTGGATCACTATGGATTCCATTTGGTCAAAACTTGTGTGATACTACTGTACATGGAAGCGCCAATTCATTCTGTAATGACTAGAAGCTCGTGGACAAGATGGCTGATCAATCATATGGTTGTGAGTATTAAATGCCTGTATTGTTTTGGTCTGCTCAACAGATTCCATGAATTGAAGGGACTTCGTCCGATAGACATGCGAAGAGATAGGGAAATTTTCGATCGCTTACGTACGTTCATTGATACTAAGCGTAACAAAAATTATGACTGGGTCACATAACTGCTGAATTGAGGGAAAGTGGTGGGTTGGGAGAGATTAGTGATTTGGGAAAGAGAGGTGAATTACATTGCATACGAAGTACACAAGAAATAAACTTTTGCTGACGGTGTCCAATGCTAAACTCACCGACATGATCAATCGAGTAACGGATAACCTTCAGGGTGGATATGGTCCTCGTTCACCATTGGTGAACTGTCATATTTGCTTCTAGACGCCAAGACCTTTATCTCATGAAATTCCGTCAATAATGACCGACGTTCTTACCATATTACATTGTCTATGAACCTGCAGATCGATGGACTCCGCCATGTGTATACCTGTGATACTTGGAGACATGTTGCTGCACTCTTTAGGATGAAAATAAGGAAGGTCCCGGTCCCATGCCCTAAAGCTTTGGTGTCTGGTATTCTATAAATGTCCCAAACTCTAGCCTGTAATCCTCGAATTCCCTGTACGATTCGACGAAGTGTAGAACCAATGAGATGGTGCTGACTAAGCGCTATTCTCTTCCAACCTTGGAAGTCGAACTTTACCTTCGGGCAACATTTCCAGCGATTCAGTGTATGGAGCAGTAATGTCGGTGGAGAGAAGCAGGGCTTGAGGCAATTTTTGTTTTATTCTTTTTTTTTTTGCGTGGCTTTTTCTCATTCTGCATCCCAGGTCTGTGCAGACCCGAACCCATTCTCGACCGAAGCTCCAAAAAAGGTTGGAATGAATTATGAGTCAATGTCGCAGACACCGCGAAAGCCCCAGCGCGTCTCCAAAGCCTGTAAGTCTCCATGTTCAGTTCCACCTTTTCCACCCGCTCCCAGCGGCAACGACCACATTGGAACAGACAGCACTGAGCTCACATTGCTCCTGCAGGCGACTTCTGCAACAGACGCAGTATTAAATGTGGCAAAAGTGAAGATCCGCTACGTAGGTGTCAAAACTGTTCGGATTTCGATATCCCCTGCACCTTTGATCTCCCAGAAAGACGACGGGGCGTCAAGGCTGGTACCAGGGCTCCTGTGAGAGACACACAATTCGTAACAACGCCTGTTTCCGAGCATTTCACCCCTGTTGCTGCCTCTACACCAACTACAAGAACGACATTGGGCTCCCCCCCATCTATGAGCCCATACTACCCCGGTTCAGCCCGCACACAAGCGCTAGATGGTGATCCCTGGTCTGCGTTCAACACCAGCGGGGTGGTGACTGAAGGATATGATGACGACGTTGCTCTACGACACTCCTGGAGTTCATTCGCTATATCCAGCAACCGACAGATTCAGGACCTTGTTCAAGTATATTTTGAAATCGTCTATCCAATGTTGGATTCAACTACCATTCTTCCCATTCGGTTGCATAGCTGATAATATTTTTTTAGCTTTCCTCTGTTCCACAAACAATCTTTCATTGGAAAGGTACAAAATCAGGAATATCTTCGAAACCCGGGTTTGTTTGCTTCAACGATGGCTGTCTGCGCGCTAGTCTCCGGCCGTGTGCGAGATGGAGCGCTGTTTACCAATCGATGGCGTCGAGATCAGCTTGCAGAACCACCTTCAGAAATATTTTATGCAGTGGCAAAAGACACGATTCCCCGGGACCTTTCTAGAGCAAACGGCATGAACTACATGCGTGCGTGCGCCATCCTCGCAATTGCCAGTATTCAAAATGGCCAGATCAAGAACATACGGAAATACTCCGGCATGTACCACACTTTAACTAGCATGGAGGGCCTTCATGATGAGGATCTTTGGCCAAAGGATTTGAGCATTATTGAAACCGAAGAGCGGCGACGACTGGTACGTATACTTCCCCTCAGCGTTGTTTGCCGGACGCGCTGTGGATCTCCACGGCCTACGGGCATAGTGCAGAACAGGCTTAGATGCAAGGGACTTCTTCTAATCAATAAACTTGAAGTTTTGGTCCATGTACACCCTGGATATTTATTCCACGATCATGTGGGGAGGTGTGATTCGATATCGCGAGGCTAATTCTCTGGTACGATACCCGAGCGAAGTTGACGACGAGTTCATCATATATCATGACTATGGCCTGCCGCCAGTATCTCCATATTCGAGCGTTCTTAGTTCGGGAGATGTGACCATCGCTTCACCCCAGCCCGTGGCATGGCTTCGTGGCTGGAACTTTACCACAGATCTCTATCGGATTCTTGAACATGTGGTCGATAGCAATTGGCGTCGTTTCTCTGCAGCGAATGGAACCGCGCAAGTCCATTCCCTGTTCAGCCCGCCACCTATATCAGAAGCAGCTGTGATGGAGCATATCCTATCCATGTACGCTGCGCTGCCATCACAGTTCAAAGAAACCCCACCTATCACAGGCGACATGACCAAGGATCTATTCGGGTTTCAATCTGCCAATATCCAAGCCACATTGCAGCTTCTCCGGATGTCGATCTTGTCGGCGGAAGAACTTGGCGTGGACCGAAAATGTGACGTGGCTGAAGAACTTCTTAGCTTTTTCAGTAAAGTCCCTTTGGGGTATTTGAGAGCTATTAGCTCCCCTCTGGTATGTGCACCTATTATCCTATATTTCCTAAGCAAATTACTTACGAGTACCAGCTTCATCATCTTGGTTCAATTGGCTACATTCTCGGTTCTGTCATGGAAGGAAGTCTATCGGAAGCATCTTATCAGCGGGTCCGCACGTTATTGTGAGTGTCTCACTGCATTCCAAGCCATTCATCCTTACCAATATAAATACTCCAGAGTTGACATTGCCGCCCTTCTTCACCTCCTCGAAACGAGCCTTCAGCGCGCCACAGGCGCCAGTGAACGACTCTGGTCGCAGCTAGACCGAATCGACGCTTACATGCACGCATCTCGGCAGCTCAATCTCACAGCGGGACATCCGCCCACGAATAATAATTCAGTCCCGGTTGATGCCGGAACTTGGCCTACTACGCTGTCGACAGCGAATTCCCACAGTGGCTCAGGCCCGGCTGTCGGGGCACCGACCGCACTCAGTGAGCAGACGTTGCAATTTCAGCTTCCTCCAGAACTGTTAACGGACTGGCCATGGCCGCTGGATGCTGCACATTCGGAGGGCTTTCTGCCTCTGGCGTTCGAGTAATCGATTCATTGGTGGGATGGCAGATTTGCGGGAAAGCTGAAGGTGTGTCTTTGATTACGTTTTCAATTGGGATAACGTATTTCACATGCGAGCGGCGCACACAAGCGAGCGGTACAGTCCGAAACACGTAGTAAATGCGATATGTTTTGCACTTATATTTCAACAACCACATCATTATTTGATTTCATTGTCAGTTGATAGCTATCGATAAGACTCCATATAGACTACCGTTGTTAATATCAAGTTGTAATTTATCGCATTTACTACGTGTTTCGGATTGCGCCGCTCGCATGTGAAGTACGTTAGAAAAGGCTATTTATGTAATCATTTATTATACAGGTAGCCCTGCAGATTTTATTAGTGCTGAAGACACAAGCCACTGTGGTCGTAACCTTCATGTTTGTACTTGCATTTCTCAAGTTTGTAGAGAACTTCTCTTCGTCAATCCGAAAAATCGAGTAGATTAACATGCGTGCGTAACTGCCCATCTTTTAAATGTTTTTGTTGGTGAACTGACTTAAAATGACGAGGTCATACCCGCTGGGTACCGTAAAGCGTTCTGGCAGAGGCAAAACGCGTAGACAGTTGCAAAAGCGCGCCCATTATGTCAGATCATTGAGGTCTGGGCTAAGCATTGTATTGAAAACCTGCAGATACAATGCGAAACATGGCCCAGGCTGCTTCTCGCTCAGCTGGGAAGACATCGTCTCGCCCCCGGTGCCAGCCAACCTGTGTCTTTTTATTTGCTCTCTTTGTAGCCGCCTAATGTTTTGCGGTGTCTTGAACCTCATTTGAGACATACAACCGGGGCCCCTGCCTTCTACCTCTGAGATGCGGAATTTCGGCTTTGGGACTGGGGTTGGAGAATCTGCTCAAATTTGAACACCCACTTATCCCCAACCATGAAGAGAATTGACTAAGAAAATTGACTATTTTGAGTTTGACAGCACTTCAAGATAACTGTATCCACTTAGGCTTTGTACTTTTTGCCTGCAAAATCCAGCAATTGTGTTTTTTTCTCATGCATCCACCTTCTGTTCCCCAGCTTCCAATAATAGCAAGCCGTATCCTGGAATGGGGTGTCTTGCGAATAACAGTGTTATAGGTCCCGGATCACAAGTAGTCCCTAATGTGATCGATGAAGTCAGCTCACGAATACCCGCTTGCCGCCCCCAAACAGCGACTGGTCACTAATGTGGCGAGCGCTTTACAATAGCAGGTCAGAATAGGGAAAGGCAGGAAGGTAATTCTCCCGCCACGATGACCCCAAAAACGGTATCTCTGAATTGGTTCCTATTAACCCTATGCGCAAATCATAAATGCATTTTTCGATTGATCCTTGATTTCGGAAATTTACATGCATTACCAAGTCTCGCAATATTCCCCGGGTGACTGGCGAGAGGTGCCTATCCGTGGACAGTCTACTGGGAAACACAGTTGGGCGGCGGATAGATAACCTCCAGGCCTTGTACAGTCAGAAAGGGATCGGGGCTCAGGAAATGAGGCATTGTTGGACCAGTCCCGTCACCATAAAAGTTAAGACTTATGATGCTCTAATTGCTACGAGAGTACGTAGACTTTATACGGATATCATAAAGCTCAGGCCTTTGGACCTCTTGTATATTATTAACGAATCCCAGCATCTTCTCGCAGCACCACTCTGGGCAATGGTTGGCCCCGCTTGGGGTGCACAGTGAGCCTCGGGTTCAGGTCAAACCCGGCCTCCACATCCGCCTGTTGGGGGCTTCTGTGCCGACACATCGAGTCTTCGTCTGTTGGAATGGTTCTCTGGAATCGGTGGGACCGGATGTGGTCCAGCGCGGACTTGAAGTCATCCAGAATGACCGTGTCGCAGAGGCACTTGAAGACGAACGACAATTTCCAGAACGGCTGGATTCCGGTGGGCAGGTCGGCCGCATTGAACGCATGCAGCACACTGCACGTTTCAATGATCATGAAGATAATCGAGAGACACATGGACAGCAGCATGATCCCGAACCGTGGGGAGACAATCATCAGCTCCACAATACCGAACGAATACACGGATTTGATGGTACAGACGAGGGAGATCGAGGTGAAAATCCACCAGGGGTCACTGTGGAGCTGTTAGACAAACAACACCTCACAGTAGCCGAGATACTATACCGAAAAAGTGGCTCCATGGGCCGGGTGGTCTGGTAGATGGGATTGCCGTTCCGGAAGTAAGCAAAGTTGGCGTAGATTTCTACCACCCAGTAAAGCTGCGCGAGGATGACGGTCGAGATGTAGAAAAGGGATACTCGGCGGGACAGAAATGGCTTGTTCTTCATCCACGCAACCACATTGTGCAGACTCCACGAGACCGTCAACCCAATGGCCGTAAAGGAGAGATACCACTCGTAGGCGGGAGAATGCGCAAAAATGAAGGTACCATGGGGTATTGCCAGGAGTAACTTGCCGTGGTTCTGTCAGTATTCGAAAGGACAATGGCTGATAGCAGGGAGTAATACCTCTATCAAAATCAGCTTATGAAGCAGGACGTGTTTTCTCATGTTGGCTAGCGTCACTGCCGCCATAATGACCAGCGAGCCGACCAACAGTCCTTGACCCCATGCTTCCAACACGAGCCCGTTGGGATCGGTCGGGCGTGATGAATGTGCTCTGTCGGCCATTCTGTCAAGAAACAGACAATCCGACCCGTTCCAGAACCATGCCTAACTGGCCTCCGATTATGAGCGGCATGCGACGACGAGGCGATTTAAAGCAGACATCATCGCGCCATTCATTTCTGACTTTTCCAAGGGATTGGGCCTGACAAGACTGTGGCGAATTCTTGGGACCGACGCCGGCGTTTGCGGCCGCACGTCATAAGAGTTGGCAGCTGGCCAACCCTTGGGCGAGCAATGAGATATCGTTCCTTGGATAAAGATGACTAATTGAAAATAGACTTCCTGTATCAATTGGATGGCCTATCATGCAGGCTCTTCTCTTGGGATGGGTGACCACTTTTATACGGAAGGTGGATACTCGTCTCCAGACCAAGGGCATCCCCTCGGTGGCCCGAAAGTGGATTGCGAGCTTCATGAGCGGACGTCAGGCCGAATTCGAGTTTGACAATTAACAGAAAGAGGTAGCGCCGCTAGACAACGCCGGACTCGCGCAAGACTCCCCACCTTCACCCATCCTCTTCGTATTCTTCAACTGCGACCAGCCAGTAGATTGCACCGTGGAGCATCCGCCTTCATCGACGAGTACTTCCGCTAGCAGATCGGCTGGAGCACCAAAGAGGACTTGGCCAAAATATAGTTCGAAGACATACCCCGGTTCGAAGCCTAGGCCGGGAGAACGGGGTCCTGCTTCGCTGTAGAGAAGACCGAACTTATCTATATTACTGCCTTAAATTTCGCCGAAGCATCACAACGGTTTTAAAGTCGCGCGACATGAGAGTGAGTCGGCTGCTATGGTGGAGAGATGTTCGCATAGACATTTTGACCAGCTAACCCCAATCTTGTTCTTTGATCGGCTGGCACCGGTGAAGTAGTGGACCTGGTGGTAATGACGTCTCTCACAGGCACTTTCTAGCTTGTCGGTCCACGATGTAACTATAGATGTCAGTACAGTGGAAATTCCAGTAGGGTCAAAGGGAAGAACTTATCAGGTACCTCAACCCGAAGGCCTGCTCGACTCAACATAGCCGAGTGATAGTATTGGAGAACAATTGCTGGGGGAAGAGGGCGTATTTATAGGCTTCTCGGCTCCTGCCGCACACGTGCTCTATTAGGGAGCAAACGTTGAAGGACACGACACCTATCCTAAGTGAGGCCTGTTGCAACCCATGCCTTCGTTCTACCGCAACTATTTGCAGCGGAATCCTGGTTTTATTTAAGATGCCCAGCGAGAAAAATATGCTAGAGTCATGTTGAAAGTGAGTCAAAGTGAGTCGGTTAAGAAACGTTGGCTCACAGTTAAATCTACGGTCTTCTATATTGAGGCACTGGAAGCTGATCAATATTGGATTTACCAAAGAGCGCTCACATTGTCGTCACTAAGAATCATGGACCATTTTCCGGCCTCGCTTGAGTGTGTTGGTTCTGAGCTGTGTGGTTCAGTCCGTCAAGCCACGGTCGCGCGGGCGCGGTACTCGACCCGTCAACCTGTTGAAGCTTGGCCTTGGTTGTTGACTTGAGTCAACTTTTGAATTTGTGACCGCCGTTGAATACGTTGTACTTTCGATTTTCATTTTCAGTCCTGTAAATTTTACTCTATCTGCTTTTGGGATTTCTGAGTCTTCCAACGAATGTGGAAAAAGTGGTGTGATTGAATATATATCTCCCTCAGGACTTTTCATTACCAGCGAGCCACTCAATATGAGGTACATTCACTGACCCTCAACACCGCGAGACTTGATCACCATCACCATCATTGAACGGGCTGCTAACAGAGCGCTGAAAGCCAAAAGCCGACTGCGTGAATTGACTTTCATGGTGATAGTGAGACTGAGTACCTAGCCACCTATGTCTGCTAGTCTATAAAAGCCTCCAACAATTGATGGACATGCTATTGCCCCACTCGACTTTTACTACGATCAAGATGGATGCCCCTAACAGCACGCCAGACCAGGAAAAAGAAGGAGAACAAAAGACCAGGGCGTTGCCAATCGCTTGTGAAAAAGACAATTCGCTGGAAGGTTCTGATCATGTCCCTCCACTGGTAAGTAAAGCGGCTCAGCTTCCAATGCTCTTGCTGACTATCGCAGCTCTCTCTGTTGCCACAGGAAGCAGAAACAAGACATACCTTGGCGACCGAGCCATTTCAACCTATTTTGAAGGTGTTAGCAGACCTCGAACGCCACCATCCCAAGTTCGCCTTTCCCGCGGCTCGACTTGTCGGACTCTATCGACGCCTATGGGAGTCATGCGTGTCCAAGCACGTCGATGGCCAGAAGCTAGAGCAGAGCAATCAGATATTGAAGGAGGCTAGCACACACCTGACTCAAGAGAGGGACGGACTTCAGCTGCGCCACGACAAGCAGCTGTCTCGGCTGCGCTTCTTTGAGCAGGCACTGGAATCATCTCGGGGTCGACTGACTCGGGTCCTCGATGACTGGGATCACCCTTGCAGACCCAACCTGGCAGGACTGCCAGGCATGGCAAGAGAATGTTGAAGAATTCTATATTCTTGATTGTCCTATGTCTTTTACAATGTGGAAAGTATCCAACGATGTATCCAACGATGTCGCAATGAAGAGTTACCGCAGGGAAAGAAGCTTATATCTTTTCGAGAACTCATATTACAGCTTTTGTGGAATGTATCTGCGAATAATCCCGCATGTTCTAGTGTCGCTTTTATTGACCCAATACATTATAAACAAAAACTGCTGACTCTCCAGAGCCTAGTCCTCGTGTCGGTGATCTCCAGATTGACATTAAACTGGGTCCAAGTTTCGCGGGCAGGTCGTGCAGGGTAATAAACCCTTCGCTCGTTCCTCATTTCAGGGTACGATAGTAGGTAATAATCTGATAACGATTTTGATGTCTATGTTCAATTGATAGGACTTCGAGTTGCCAGGAATCACTAATGATGCATGTAGAAGTCCGGGATCCATTGCAGGAATATATAAGTTGAATCCAGAAGATAATAATCTCCTAACTACATCGACCCATTTTAGGTCGCCGCTCTGTCATAGATATGTTCTTGTGCACACTTTTGTATTTAATCAGAGTCAAAATCTCAGCGACCCGAGAGTGGAATGTGAATAGCCCCTGATGGATTCATCTTGCTGAGCAACATCGGGAAACTAACTTCCATCTAAACAAAGTTCTTACAATGCCAAGCGCGTCCAACAGCCGATGATTCTCCGACAAGAAGCACCAATTGCCTTCCTTCCTCGTGAACATATCCAAGAATAACCCTGGAACATAGGAAACTGCCGCAGTCAGTACGTTCGATTGGCCGCGCTACAACTACATCTCGCCAGCGGAGTGCGAATCTCGCACCGTTGCTTGTCAATTCTTGTCATTGCACAGCTGTGGGCCCAGTTAGAGCGCACTCGTGATTGTTTTTGTGGCGTCTGGGCGAGAGTTAGATTGCATAGATTGCTCATGCAATGAAAAATCTGAGCCCCGCTTTGTGGAGATAAGAACTTACAGATCGCGCCACCCGGTGGAGCTCACTAAGCGAACGACCCTCCGGACCCTCCATTACCAAATAACACTCAAGATGTACGGTTGCTCATTGCGTGTCAGACAGTACTATGACATTAGGCCGTGCGGTTCATGCTCAGGTAACGCTTACTGAAAGCCAGAGATTGTCTAACTGTAAACTTTTCGCTTTTTCTTTTCCGACACTGCGCTGTATCTTACTTTATGCTTCCATCCCTCGCACTCTCTACCCTATATTCCCACGATCGGCCAGGCCCATGGATGAAAACGAATCATTTCATCTCCAAGAGAAGAAAGGAGATCGATCGAGCTCCGGTGGAACCTACGTGGGCGAACCCGGTGTCGAGTCTCACGACCACCTAAAAGTCGACACGAGCGTGAACTATGAAGCTGGACAAGCCGCCATGAGCACGGCCTCCTTGCGCCGCGGGCAAGCCGTGCGCCTGGAGGATGACCTCCAGCTCATGGAGGCAGAGCGCATGGTATCACGATCTACCGAAACACGGAGTCAGCACCGGCGGAGCTCAATGAGCCGAACGCGATCGTATCCTAGTCAGCGCGTCGATGAGTTCGACGAGGCCACCAACCCACTCCACGAAAAGGCTGCCGTCTATCAGCCTCCTGAGAGTCCGACTACCAAACTCTCTGCGTTTGTAAAGAAAGTCCATAATTCCAGCTTCACTGTTCGGTATTTGACCTATATCGTGCCCGTGGTGCTGCTCCTCCTGATCCCGTTGCTTATCGGCGCCCTGAACTATACCGATACCAGCGTCGGCGGCGTGAAATTGATGTGGTTTTCGATCTGGCTGGAAATCGTCTGGTTGACTCTGTGGGCAGCCCGTGTCGTTGGGAAATGTATACCGCCGGCTGTGAGCATAATCTCCAGCATATTCACCAATAACGCAAAGAAGTGGCGCGACATGGCCAAACAGCTGGAAGTCCACTTCGTGCTTTTCTTCTGGTGGCTCGCTGTAGAGATCTCCATCCTACCCACGATGAAGAACCATCATGTCGATGGTGATAAGCGCACGCGGGGTTGGGAGAGAACGCTCAATAAGCTTATCATCGTGGGTCTGGTGTGGACGATCCTCAATGTTATCGAAAAAATCATCATCCAGCTCATCGCCATCACCTTTCACCAGCGCACATACGACGACCGCATCCAGCTCAACAAGTTCCAAATCGGCAGCCTGACCAAGTTATATCAATTCTCCCGAGCACGGATCGCGGAAGACGACGAGACATTCGAGCAGAACCCCAACCTGGGGACGCCGCAGAGCACCAAGAACCCTCTGCAGTATGCCTCCAAGGCAGGTCGCGTTGCCCAGCGCGCCATGAAAAACGTCGGCAACAAGGTCGGTGATGTAGCTGAGGGCGTGCTTGCGGATTTCACCGGCCGGCAGACGAAGAATAGCAGTGATCCATACCAGGTCGTTCTTGCCTTGCTGCGCACCACCTCGGGCTGCCAGGTCCTCGCGCGCCGTCTCTATCGTACGTTCGCGCGTGATGGCTTTGACACGGTCTTCTCGGGGGACCTGAAGGAGGCCTATGATGACAATGAGGAGGCAGAGGCTGCCTTCTCCATGTTTGACCGGGATATGAATGGGGATATCTCTATGGAAGAGCTTGAAGGTGTCTGTGTGGATATTGGCCGTGAGCGCAAGTCTATCACTGCATCACTGAAGGACCTTGACTCTGTTGTGTCAAAACTGGATCAAGTTTTCATGTTCTTTGTCTTTATTATCATTATCATTGTCTTCCTCACGCTGATCTCAACGTCCGCAGCGGGAGTGCTGACCTCTGCTGGTTCTACCATCCTCGCTCTATCATGGATGTTCTCTACAACTGCCACCGAGTTCTTACAGTCTATCATTTTCGTCTTCGTTAAACACCCATTTGATGTTGGTGACCGAGTTACCATCTACGGTAATTCCGGGGCCTCAGGCCTTGGTGACGACTACTTCGTCAAGGAGATCGCGCTCCTATATACCGAGTTTAAGAAGATGGAGGGCCACATCGTCCAAGCACCAAATAGTGTCCTCAACAATCTTTTTATCCTCAACCAGCGCCGCACAGGTGCTCTCGCCGAGGCCCTGCCAATTGTTATCAAGTACGGCACAACCGTCGACCAGATGGAGCGACTCCGCCACCGCCTCGTAGAGTTCGTGCGCAGCGAGAGGCGCGATTTCCAGAGTATGATCCTCCACGAGCTCCGCGAGGTCACAGAAAACTTATCCCTGACCCTTAACGTCGTCTTCTTCTACAAATCCAACTGGCAGAACGAGGGCCTGCGTCTGCAGCGCCGCAACAAGTTCCTCTGCATGCTCATGATCGCGCTCCAAGAAGTCGGCATCGAGGGCCCTCGCATGAACCTCCAGGGCTACAA